AAGAAATATTTCCCGATCGAAGTTAGTCTGGTTTGTTCGCTGGAGATGGACAGAATTTATAGTTGAGAATGCTTCGTGACTTGGTCGATATTTGATGTGGAGAGAATGCGAAAGAGTGAATACGGTGCCCGTGAGATATTTTGTTACGATTAAGCGAGTGTTCCTTGTATCAAGCACAGATTGCAATAACTGAAAGTTCGGACAATCAAAATTCGTTATTTACGCTGAAAGATATTTTGAAGGAAGACGCACAAGCTAAGATTTAATTTAAAACTATTCAGAATATTATAGCCGATATTAACATTTTGTATATCCATTTTATAAGATGTGTACAAGACACTATATAAATTAATTAATAACTCATCACAAAGACCTCATTAATTGTGTGAAAAACTTTAATTTACAAAGTTACTTGCTGTCAGTTACTTTACCTAGATTCCTTTTTTGAAATAGAGATACTTTTGGGGCGACAGATAAATCAAAAGTTTCGCAGAGGAAAATTCTTAAATTTCAAGGACAACATACGAATTCATTGCTTCTTTGTGACATATTTTCTATGTACTTAGCTCAATATCGTCATGTCAATTTACTTGTATGTAATCGTGCACATTTACGTTGACGTTGAGGAAACATTGTGAACATTGTTCAAAGCTTCTTGCACCAAATAATTTAAATAATACCTGCACGCAACAATGGAACACATAACTAAAATGAACAGCTTTCGACGGATATTCAACCCGTATTTAGCAACTGCAGTAACTGTAGTTCAGTGTTTCTTTCTTTCTTGAAATAACAGATAACTCACAAGGTTTCTAGAACTTTTTGCTAGACATTTTAACAATAATATGATTCATCGCGTGATAAAAATTCGCGCTTAAACAGATAATATCAAGTATCAATAATAAACAATTACAATAGTTCATGTGTACTGTACTTATGTTTTTAAGATCGTAAGCAAACATTTAGAAACAGAGATAGAAAATTAATGGATGGACGAGATGAAATTAGTTGAAAGTCACAGTGAAAAATCGTGGAATATATTTTTCTACAGAAATTGACCACTCGCTTTTCATTCAAATTTAAATATATTCAAGTAATCACACACGTTTGGCGAAAATGTCCATCTTACGAGATGAAATTGATTCTCTTTTTAATTGATTTTCTCGTTTTGATTGAGTTGCTTTTTAATTTCTCTTAGGTGTATTACGCGACAACAGAATCACAAAGAATGTATTTGATCAAGTGCAAAAACTTTTTATGGATATAATGCGAACATATTATTTACGTGAAACATTCTTGCATGTGAAACATTCTTTCATTAACACTGGAATGACGAACGATTTTGATAATTACGTTGGTAAGTTTAAAAGAAGTGCAAAAATATATGCACAAATTACAAGATCATATATCTTTCGTAGAGATCACAAAAATAATTAAACAGAGATCCACTACACATCTACATATAAGTTTCTTTATCTTTTATACTCGTAATATACCTAAGACGATATTTTTACTAATTATATGTTTTCAACAAACATATCATAACTTGTACAAACATTTTCACATTGGTCTAAAGTTTGATTGATCCTAGCTGTCCGTCGTTGCAGTGTAAATAGAGTTCGAAGTAATCCCAAATTCTTTTTCATGATAAGCATTACAATATTTTTAAATTCCACACATGCACATAATAAGAAATAAATAAAGTTTCTTTACCTAACACTTTCAAGCAAAGTAGCAGTGTACTGTATCAACATGACACACAATGATTCGGTGGCTACAATTATAACAGCCCCTAGAAAGTATACGATTTCCTGACATATCGTCATTAGGGACAGGTATTCCTAATATAGCTGCCTGTATAGTATCATAACGGGGATGGTTAGCCAATTACTGTAATTTCATAGCCAATTGTCGTTACTAGGGCTGAACCTCAAACTACGGAATGTATACATAAAGTCTAGGGAATGAATTTAACTTCAAAAAAAAAAAGTAAAATCTTCTTTCTCGCAGTTCTTTCTTTGCTGCTTCGTAAATTGTTTATTATTGATGAACGATTATTGGTTCATCGTCTGTTTGTGACAATAGAATCACACAAAGGCATTAAACATCACTAGCTACGCTTTAAAGTAGGTTCAAGGGTGATTCAAAAATACTTTACAGAGTTATGAATAAAAATCTCTATTAAATACAACTTCATTATTACACGGTGATGAAAAATATTTAGTTTTCAGTGTTTGCGTTTTTTTATACATTCTCCACATATCAGCGTGTCACAATTTTCTATTAATTATTTTTCTATTAATTATGACTACGAGTAAGAAGAAACTGATACCTGGTGTCAATTCGTAAGGCGCTATTTATTCTGAATCAGGCAGAACAGCAAAATTAGATCAGAAGATTCACTAAATGGCTATTCCTGTTGAAATAAAATTGAAGCTCACAAAAGTTTCAGCAAAATTTACAGCCTGCAACTTGGGATGGTAGTACACGTTTCTTGTGTAGAAATTGAACTATTTGTTGACTACTATTTAATTGAATATTTTTTCCTTTCATGCATCATCGATCAGAGTATTACTCCTGCATGGAAGATATCATCATAAAATACGACACTGAGGTTTTCACCAACTGAAAGATAAATAATTTTCACAGATCACTGTATCTACGTCAACTACGAAATATTAACTAATATTAATTACAAACGAATATACCGTTGAAAAGCCCTCTACTGTGCCGGTGTAACAATTGTAAATGTTGAACGAGAATGTCTTGCTGGTTCTCAACATCATGTTCAGCAATGACTTTTGAGTTGCTACAGTAGTTTCGTACCAGTTGTCGTGGAAACTGAAATCATTGGTAAAATTTCTTCTGACACAGATTCAAAGTACCGTTTAGTGATCGAATGCTTACATTCCCATGGAAAAATTGTTATAGTAATCATGCGCTTGTTCGCATAAATAATTCAAGTAAAACATATACACTAATTCGCAAACGATAAATAAAGTGCTGGCAATTGTTTCTTCGAATTCGGATGAAAGCAATTCGGATTGCGATGCGGACAGCTGGAAAATGAGTAAAATCTTGGAATCAGGCGTTTCTCGTTTCGACAAATTATTACGAAGACCGGATTGAAAACAGAGGTATCCTATCAAGGTCCATGAAAAATGGCGGAAATTTTCAGGTCTAATATACATATATACGAATATACTTACGCGAAATAAATTAATTGCTAGAGAAGTGATAG